GAAATGAGCTTAGATTTGTGTGTTATTTTTAGTATTTTGCACAATTTGCTGTTTTGGGAATGGCTTTTTATAGGAAATAAACAAAATTTTGTGAGACAGAGGTGAACCTTTGGAAGTTAGTGCAGACTGTGCAGTCTCTTTTTTTTTTTCTTTTATTATTATTATTATTATTATTATTATTATTATTGTTGTTGTTGTTGTTATTTTCTGTTGAAAGTTATAATATTATAGTATCATTCTATTGGTTTTTTTTGTTAAAATTTGATATTTTTTGTGCATTGCACTGCATGAAATTAAATTGGAGAAAATATTGTTTTGGTTCGGGTAATTGATCGGACAGGCCTTCGGGGAATCACCGTCGATTTATCGATTCAATTGATGAATTGGGTAATTAATTTTAAAATAATTTTAAATTATATATATACTATTTTTACTATATAAATATAAATGAAAAAATTTTGTATTAAAATTTATGCCTCCAAGTATTAATAAATAATTTGTACAAAAAAAAAAGTATGAATAAATAATGTATCTCGTTAGCATATACTATAATTTTTGTTTTTAAAATATTTTTAATTTTTAATAATAGTGATCGTATTTTGATCAGGTTCATTGTTTCCGGACCCACTTAGACTGGGCCGGTTGGACCCGTTGGCTGATCAAAATCATTAAATGAATAAATAACTATGGTGCCATACTGCCATGTCACTTGTATGCAATTAAAGATGCATGGCTTCTTGGAAAAACAAATGGATAATGCTGAGAAAACAGAAATAGCAATTATATGTTAAAAAAAAACTTGAAGAAGAATAGATCAAATATCAAGAAAATATTACGATCCTGTTACGGAATTATTCTGTCGAAATTTGTAATCGTTAGATCATCATGTAACCGTCGGGGATAGTTGATATAACGGTTACGAACCCGACTGAAAGGGTTCCGTAATTTTTCTCCAATATATTGAATATTACTAAGTGAAGAGGAGTAAGAACTCAACCCAAAACGAATATTATATATGTTTATGATAATTTGAAGCATTTGCTACTGCCCCAAGATACTAATAACATACATTTGGGATTTAAGATCCAAAATTACCCATAAAAGTAGCAGAAAAAGCTATGCACCGGCTAACACAACACAAGAATGCATGCTACAAAAAGAAAGGAAAAGCATCTTTACAAAAAACACAGACAGTAGGCCTAGTCCATACTTTTTTCTCACCGCATTTTGATGCAATCGAGATTGTCTGAAACTACTCTCATTTTCGGCCTTAACTCAGGATCTCGTTCGGTACAACTCAATGCAGCATGAAAAGTCGCAACCACTTGTTTTTTCGCGTGGGCCTCGTGCAAAAGAGACGGGTCTATAATCTCGGACAATGGCCTCTCCTCGCGAAAAACCTTTCTCACAAAGTCCTCAAGCCCGTTATCATCTTCTCTGTCTGGAGCCCGGCCCGTAAGAATTTCCAGAAGCAAGATTCCAAAGGAGTACACATCGCATTTTTGGGTCAACTTGGAACCATGAGCTCGAGCCTCGGGCGCCAGGTAAGCAGCAGTAGTAATGTTTGACGAGCTTGAACTTTTGGTACTCATGATATCTTGGCTAAAACTTAGCTTCTTGGAACTAATGTTTGTGGATTTTGACCCGTTTGGTGCGAGCCGGGTCAGCCCAAAACCAGAAATGTACGGTTTTAGCTCTTCGTCTAGGAGGATTTTCGACGGTTTTATGTTCCCATGGATGTGTTTTTTGGGGCTGCATTCGTGAATGTGCGTAAGAGCCCGTGAAGTTTCTAGAATGATCCGAAACCTTGTTGCCCATGAGAGCGGAGGCAATGTGTTCCCTGGCCCACCTGCACCAGACGAATGAAAAAACATCGGAAAATTCAAAATTTGTCGGGTCGTAATTAAGGAACATTAAGTTCGACAAATTTGTCTCAAATGGTAATTGTAATGCTGAAAGATAAATCCACCAGCAGCAAATCTTGAAACGAACTAGTCGAATTTAATAATATTTTGGTACTCTGTTGGCATAGAGAAACTACTTGAAGGGAAAGATAACAGTAAAAGCAGCTTCCTAAGCTTAATCAACGGGCAATCATAACAACTCGTAAGCTTATGCAAACTAAAGTTATGCACACTCTTGATTGTGTACACAATAAATATCATGCTCTCTTTTTGTCACTGCCTTTTGTGGGTCTGATATCACTAAAGTCCAGTAGTGAAATAAAACTAACTCATGCTAGATATCATGATTGCTAATGATTCGATGCATCAAACTCCAAGCGGTTAAATACATATTATACCCCTGTGTGAACTTATGTTACATGCAACTTTGATGTCTATCACGATCATTTTCCAATGACTATTATTCTGCCCAATTACGACATGAACAGAATCCGATGATGTAAAAGCATAGGATATTTTATATAGTGTTGAAGTTCGTATTATCAAGACTAAAAGTTTATGTTTTCGGTGAGATCAAATCTGAGGGATCACATTTTAAGAATCAAATCTTTTGTTCCTGCTATAATTACAAAAGCCACCATGAGGTGAAACATTAATTAACACAAATGGGAAAAAAATAGCTATTCTCATAATTTCAAATAGCTATGCTTTTTGTGGGTCTGACTATCAACAGTAAACATACTACGAAGCCTTTTGATGATGAATGTATTCCGTATACTGATTTATGATCATACTCAAGAATGTGGCTGCATAAACACACAGATTTACCCAAACTCAAAACCAACCAACAACATTCAAAAATAAAAATAACAATCGAAAACATTCAATAAACAATGCTCACCGTGCAATGCATTGTGCAAATTCCCATTGGGAACAAAATCCGAAATCAGCAATTTATCATCGCTGGCAAAGTAAAACGCCCTCAGCCTCACGATATTCGGATGCTGCACCTTACCAATAGCCTCCACCTCAGCCTCAAACTCCTTAAACCTCCACCGCGACTCGCCCTCGCACAGCCGCCTCACGGCGGCAGTCACCGGAAACCGGCGACCGAAAACAGGCCCCACCCCCCTCCCGCCTCCGCCGGCCACCACCTTGTACACAATACCACTCCTGCTTTTCCCCACTACATAAGCTGATGCCCTCAGCAAATCCTCCAATTCCAAACTAAACCCTTCATCCAAGACTACAAATTTACCCTTTTGCCCTTCCTCACAGCCCACCCTCACGGCAACGGCATCCCCGCCGCCGATGGCGACATTTTCTTTACCCAATTTGCCCTCCACATCCTTCCATTTTTTCTTGATCACCCACACAGAGATGAAAACCACCCCAATCACAAATGAAACCCCTGAAATCACAGAAATTGTGACCGGCCCACTATTTATCTTTCTATTGCCCGCAAGCCCGTTTGAGGAAAGCCCGCCATTTTCGGGCCATTGAGGGTTGTTCAAGAGCCTAGGATTTTGTGCTTCGGGCTCTGCGCAAGGATTATTAATCAAAGGAAAACCACAGAGATTAGGATTTCCAGTGAATGCAGTTGGGCCCTGGTTTAAAAGCGACCCCACCAGAGGTATTTTACCAGTAAGATTATTATGCTGGAGATCAAGGCTGACCATCACCGGAAACTGCCCAAAACTCGCCGGAATCTCGCCGGAAAATGAGTTATACGAAAGATTTAAAGTCCCTGACAAATGGGTCAGATTGCTCAGGCTTTCTGGGAGCGAGCCGTTGAAATTATTGGAAGATAAATCAAGATGCATGAGGTTTTGAAGGGCAGAGATATGATGAGGCAAGGGCCCACCGAATGAGTTTTGTGAGAGATCAAGAAAAGTGAGAAATGTGAGGGCACCAATCTCTGATGGAATGTAGCCGGTGAGATTCTTGCTTGGGAGAGAAATGGAGAGCACCCTACGGTGGGCGTGATCGCAGATGATTCCATCCCACCTGCAAGGAGTTGAATCTGAGTCAGACCAAGAAATGAGAGCTTCAGTTGGATCTTTAACAATGGCGGCTTTGAGAGCTAAGAGAGAGACCCCATCAGGGTTTAGTGAAAATGTGACAGAAATTAAAAAGGAGAAAAGGTAGAAGAATTGAACAAAGCAACCCAAGCTTGTAAAGTTCATATTTTTAGCTTTTGTGTTTAAAAATGCCATCTTTAAAGGACTTGAAATCGAAAGGGTTGAGTAAAGTTTCAATCTTTTTTATGCATTGAGAGAGGAAATCAATGTGTGACGATGGATAAGCTCCAAGCTTTGTGGGTTTGAATGAAAAAAACACGAAAAATGCTTCTGCAATGAGGAGTTGCAGAGGAGAAATGAGTAATGTGTGTTTGGTTTGAGGGAGATGATGAGAGGGTTTTGTACTCTTTGTTATTATAATTTGAATGAACTCAAATGGGGTTGGCTTTTTTCGAGGTTAGTTTAAGTGGTGGTGTTGTAATT